ACTCGTATATCTTTTCCTTCTACCCACACTATGATCATCGAACCATTCCACCTCATCCACAAAGATCTTTGGGGTTACAGTCCACTCACGTCCTGTCATGGCTATAAGTATTTTGCATTATTCATTGATCATGTCACTCGTTGCACATGAGTCTATTTTTTGAGAAACTTCTGATTTGCTTCTAGTTGCTACTAAATTTTTCACCATGATCAAAACCTAGTTTGATAGATCCATTCGTGTAGTCTGATATGATCCTGGTGGGGAGTTTAGCTTGAAATCCGCTCTTACGTTTGTATGTTCCCTCGGCATTATTTCCCAAAAATCCTGTCTTGGAGTTTCTCAGCAAAATGGCCTGGTTGAACGTAAAAACATGCATGTATTTGAGGTGGCACAAACTCTTCTTCTGGCCTCACACGTCCCATCGTCCTTTTAGGCGGAGGCATTAGCTACGGAATTTCTCCTCATTAACTACCAGCTTACTCCGCTTTTTGATCAGTCTAGTCCCTTCTACCACCTGTCTTAGAGTCTTCAGTTGTATATGCTATAGTGACAGTTCGGTTTGAACGTACTAAATTGATGTCTAAGACAGTTCGGTTTTTTTTCTTGGCTATAGTGACATTCATAAGGGTTATCTGTGCTTTGAACCTATTGCTAGGTGCCTTCGTGTAGCCTGCAATGATGTCTTTTTTTAGAACCTTATGTACTATGCTTCATCCATCGAGTCTCCACCTTTATTTGACACCTCCTTGTCTCTCCCTTCGTTTTCTGACTCTGATGATCCTCTTGATTATGGGACCGATGATGATGCTATGCTACCTCCTACGCCGCCTCCCACACCACCTCCCTCTCCGTCGCTGACTCACTCCTACTGTCACTCTAGAAATTGGCCAAGTGTAACCACTTCCTAAAGCGTAGTATAGCGGGTTTGGGTTTTAATGTCAACCCGGGTCCTAGATTTGATGACTACTCGGTGAATTCTTGTTATCTAGCAGTGAAACTTTAGAGCAAGTCCAAATTAACAAACAAACAAAGCAAGTTAAACAGTTGTTTTCAAGTCGAGACAAGTCACCTGGATATGGTTCCCCCTAGACTGCAGTTAAGCCTGATTGCAATTTACCAAGTTCAGTTTCCATGAAAGTTATACTGCGGAAGGTTCTTAAACAATCTGAAGTCTCGACTAAAGGTCTCCAGACCCTCTCAATCTGAGTGTCCAGCGAGCTCCTAGGCAGATATTCTCATTCTAGGTTAAAGCAGAAACAACAGGAATTTGATCAGGATTCAAGTCATTCAATCATTCAAGCCTCAATCGAATATAATCAACTCATGAAATCTGTACTTGGGTTCGTACAATCAGACCTAACATACAAATCTAGGGTTCTCCATACCCAGATGAATGGGAAAACTACTCCATGGAGAGAGAAGCGAAAGCAGATTCAGACGCGCAAATCGTACTGTGAAGGATGAGTTTCTGCTCCTGGTTGTCAATCGGCACTTCTCCAAACTCAAGTCGAGCTCCAATGGTGATGAAGATCAAGTTAAACGGTTATTTTCAAGTCGAGAGAGGTCACCCGGATATGGTTCCCCCTAGACTGAAGTTAAGCCAGATTGCAATTTACCAAGTTCAGTTTCCATGAAAGTTATACTGCGGAAGGTTCTTAAACAGTCTGAAGTCTCGACTAAAGGTCTCCAGACCCTCTCAATCTGAGTCTCCAGCAGACGACTAACCTCCACCGGAGTAAACAGATTGAGGCCCTAACGACCCAAACCTCCACTACCGAATTGAATTCGGTACAGAATAGCGAATTGGCTCCTCGACTAAAGTCACCAATTCGCCACCTTCAATTAAGGGTGCTCTATCAACCTAGGCAGATATTCTCATTCTAGGTTAAAGCAGAAACAACACAAATCTAGGGTTCTCCATACCCAGATGAATGGGAAAACTACTCCATGGAGAGAGAAGCAAAGCAGATTCAGAAGCGGAAATCATACTATGAAGGATGAGTTTCTGCTCCTGGTTGTCAATCGGCACTTCTCCAAGCTCAAACCGGGCTCCAATGGTGATGAAGATTAAGCTATGGCACTTGGGAACTCTGGTTCGTCGCTTTCTCTCTCTAGGAATCGCTCTGTCTCTCTAAAACTCGGAACCCTTATTTTTTGGCCTTCTTTTCCTTTAAAAGGCTGACTGTCGCGATACCCGGTCGGGTATTTTGGGTCACGACCGGGTATAATTGAAACGCACCGTTTTTGCCTTAGGGGAAATTCCCGGTCTGGCCCAAGAATCCCCAACCGGGGGTTTTTGCCTCCTGCGCGGGCCCCCTTCTGTTTCTCATGGACGCCCAAAGCCAAAAATCCCTGGTCATGGCCAGATAATACCCGATCGGCTATTTATGCTCAGGGCCGGGTATTTTTGCTCTCCAGCACACTTCAAGCCTCACTTGCTCCTTTCAACCCGAATCTCGTTCCTTCGCCTCGATTCCAACGCCGGGTCCTGAAATATGACATAAACGTACAACCTCGCGTGAAATCGGCTTAAAACACGAGAATCAACATCTCAAACGGCTCAAGAATAGGGGTAAAAACATGTGCAATTATCAGTCTATCAGTCCCCCAGTCCGCCTCCTGCCCAGCTTAGTCTGCCACCTGACTAGCTTTTAGATGAAGCTCCAGTTGCTCCGCCTCGCCGCTCCAATCGTTCCACCATGGGTCAGCCACCTATCCGCTACCAGGACTATGTAGCTTATCAGGTGGATCCTATCCCCATTCTGTCCCACTATTCTCAGGACAAAGACGATCCAAGGTGGAACGGTGCTATGGATGAGGAAATGGGTGCTCTCCGTGCGAGACAAACGTGGGTTCTTGTTCCACGTCCTCCTCATCCTTAGATTTCGGTTGTTGGTTGCAGATGGGTATATGCTTTGAAGGTTCTGCCTGATGGGACTATTGAGCGATTCAAAGCTCGTGTTGTGGCTTAGTGGTTTCGTCAGGAGTATGGTGTTGATTTTGAAGAAACTTTTGTTCCTGTTGCGAAGATGGTCTTCGTTCGTTCACTTATTCTTGCTGTTGGCATCTATATTAGCTTGATGTTATGAACGCGTTTCTTCATGGTGATTTGCAAAAGATTGTCTACATAGAACAACCTCTTGGATTCTCTGAAGGGGATGATAAGGTATGTTTCCTCCAGCGGTCCCTCTATGGATTGATGCATGCACCTCAGTCCTGGTTTGATAAGTTTCATTCTACTGTTTTAGCTCTTGGGTTTCAACAGAGTGGGAACGAGCCTTCCCTGTCCACTCGCCGGACTTCTCGCAAGCTTATCGTACTTCAACTCTATGTTGACGATATGATCGTCTCTGGTAATGATCATGACGGTATTGCTTCTCTTACATAGGGTCATCATGCGTCCTTTAGTCTCAAAGAGCTCTGCTCATTATCTTACTTCCTCGGTTTGGAAGTCACTCGTTCCCATCAGGGTATTCTTCTCAGTCAATCGAAGAATATTGATGATCTTTTAGAGATTGCTAGCTATGGGGACTACCGACCTGCCTCCACGCCGATAGAGCAAAACTTGAAGTTGGCAAGGGAGACATGTGAGTTGTTATCTGACGGAGGGAAACACTATCGTAGTGTTGTTGGTTTGTTGATCTGTCTAGCTTCCACTCGCCCGATATTGCTTATTCAGTCCAGGTGGTGAGCCAGTTTATGACTGCACCACGCACCATCCATTTCGATGTTGTTCACCAGATTCTCATATACTTACAGGGTACATGTACGATGGGATTGTTCTTGCCTTCTACAGGATCATTGACAGTGCATGCATTTTCTGATTCAGATTATGCAGGTTGTCTTGACACTAGACACTCTACGAGTGGTTGGTGCGTGCGTCATGGAGGATCGTTCATTTCTTGCCGGTGTAAGAAGCAGGATCAGGTTTAAAAATCCTCAACTGAAGCTGATTACAGAGCTATGTCTGAGGTGACTTCTGAACTTGAATGGTTGCAACGATTTAGGCGATTTAGGCGTTACTTGTTAGGTTCCTATGCATATTTATGTTGATAAAACTAATGTTGTTTGTATAGTGACGAACCTAGTTCTTCATGATCGTATAAACACATCGAGGTTCACATTCAATATATCAGAGACTTAGTTCGAGATGGGACTCTTCGTATCTTCTATATGTCTTCTGAGGACCAGATTGCAGATCTTTTGACGAAGGTTTTGCTAGAGAGTAGCCACAACTATCTCGCTGGCAAATTGATGATACGAGACACTTAAATTTGAATGAACTGAATCTAAATTCAGAAGGATGCAAAACCATGAAAGAAACTATGGAAGTGTATAATTCAATGCATTTTTGCAGTGTATAATTCAATTATTCTATGAAAAAAATATGAAATTTGAGTTTTAAAAGTTAATGATAGTGGTGATATATGATGCACAGATTTGGCCCTATGCACCTAAATTGCTCTTGACAAGTTTCACAACAATCACATTCTGCCGTCAAATTTTTTGAGAAATTTGCTGGAGAAGGCCAAATTTAAATGTCGGACGAAGAAGATAGTGAGTTAGACTACTGGTTCTATCATGACACTCTTGGAGTCCAAACCCCCTGCCTGGTTTCTGAATAAAGGTTAAAGGGCGCCCGGTTTCCACACCAAAAAAAAAAGCAATGGTATACATATAGTTATCTTCAACATACACGTCCAAGATAAGGGGTGTAATATAAATGGACAAACCGGAGAAAATAAAGTAGAATATAACTAAATATGTAGTTTGTAAGAAAACCAACCACTTGTTTCTTACATTTGAAGTATATAATATACAGTATCATCAAACATATACATGCATGTCGAGGTAATTTTAAAGCTTAGCAACCTTGTTGCTGTTGTTCATCGATTTTTTTTCTCGAAATACATACAACTTTTGGACGTGGCTCTAATAGATGGTTGTGATTTGTCTGATGCTGCGGTAAGAACATGAGAATAAAGCAATGTTAGATCAATATTCGTGAATAGAATTTACTAAATATTTTTCAAGCATTATTGTAATTTTAGAGAGTTGGTGTTAGGTAGTGATTCTGCTTACTTGTCACATTTCATCTCCTTTGAGAGAGGGAAAGGAACCGTAACGTTGCATAGGTTTGGAATCGCTTTCATATACTTGTCCTGGATAGCAGGAAACTTCTGGAAAGCATCTTCCAAACAATGACATGCTGTCACCTTGTCGTATTTGGAGGTTGCAGTTGCTACGAGATTTTGGAGACCGGTGCAGCACTTAGGGTCGATTGTGGGCTTGTCGCCTTCGGCGTATGGAAGGCATGGCATCGCATTAAGTTCGACAGTGCTGCAAGTGATTGATGCGGGGCTTCTACTGTCTGCGAGATACATGAAAAGGGAAGCGGAGATAGCAACGATGAGGATGTTTGGGAAGATGATCATCACGCTGTTCTTCATCGTTTGTTGTTGGGGGTAAGGGTATATCTTGGTGTAGAGGTAGAGTTAATAGGAGTATGCAAATGCTTTCTTTGCGCTGTGATGGAAGAGGGTGAGTGGAGCTTTTGCTATATATATAGTCTTACAGGGTTTGTCTTCTTTGTCATTTTAGTAATAGAGGTCAAGAAATCTGCAGAAACAAGCATCATATGTCTACAGCGAAAGAATGTGAAAGGTGTCTAGCTTGAGTTTCAAGAAATGGAATTTCAGCTACCAGCTACTAGTCCTGATCACGTCCACCGGCCACCTGTGGCAACTTTGCCGAATGGACCGTTACTTTATACCGAAACTCATGTTATCGTCACTTTGTTTATTCCCAAATTGAAACTCATGTTTGATTTCTAGCTAATAGAGGACAACAAAATGGTCAGTGGCGGAGTCTAATTTTGATCTAGCTTTTGGAACCAAAGATATCATCCTTATTAGTTAGTAGTAGATAATTTTTCACCCTTTTAAGTTTCCAAAGCTGCATCACGGAAAATTTCCCAAGTTCATTACATTATACTTTTGCTTACATTACACAATAATTGTAGAGTATACTTTATAGAGTATATATATAGTACTCAGGTTAAATATATCACTCAACTATTCCATGCGAAAAATATGAAATATGATCCTAAATACCCGGTTAAAAATTAACCGTAGTGGTTATGCATTGCACATATATTTGGCGATATGCACCTAAATTGCTCTTGATAAGTTTCGGACTAATCAAAACTTATTCTCCTATCTATTGTTTGTTTCTCGTTTTCCCGAGTTACTTAGACGTTGCTGAGTTAAAGAAAATCTCGTTTGGCTCAATTCTTCACATGTGTTATTGGAAATAATATATAAAAAATTTATTTTCAAATAATACGAGATAAAAGTTATTTCGTAAAAAAATACTTGTTTTGAGTTATTTGTAAATAACACACTTACAAAATAACTCATCTCAATAAAGTGTTGTCAGGCGAGTTATTTTGGTCCAGTAACTCATTTGGGCCTTAATAACTCACCTAAAAGGCTCTTCCAGACGACCCACATGACTAATGAGAAATGAAATCTTCAACATTAATTTAGAACAACATTTACTTTAATTTATCCACTTTCCTCGGGTTTTGAATGTTTCCCGATTAAAATTTTGTCTTGGTAGAGACCGACATGTAAAGACGAGATCTACGTGAATATATGGTCAATAAGAAATTTTTTCTTAAATTTTTACTTAAAATACTATTTTGGCAACAATTTTCAAAGATGATATAAATTATTTTCACTTTATAAAGAGTGGACAATTTTGATTGCTTATAGTAGAAATTTCATGATTGTGGTAGTGATTTTGTGATTTTTAATTAGTGGTAATTGATGATTTTTAGTAAGAACCATCGTCTTTTTATAAAAAACTGGATTAGTAATGACCATTACTGAAATATATTGAAAAGATAATCCATACGAAATAATACTACTATAACTATGCGAAGTACTACTAAAAATTAACGAAAATATATTCCATTACAATAAGAATCACTACTTAATTAAAACTCTTGGGAAACACTCATAGCCTGCAAACACTGATAATGAAAATACTCCATCGTACACAATTCACAATTCCACTATTTCTTTATTCCTGTTTATGATAACTCAGTTCATAAAAAATGAGAGTTGGACCCCTCGTAACGTCCCAAGGGATGAGACTAGTTGTAAGAGGTGAATGATCAATTTCACAATACAAATAAGATATCATATTTCTCTGCAGAGGGTGGATTCTAATGTTAGATGGAGAAAATACATGGCTTGTGCGGGTGGGGATAGCGGGGGGTAAGGATGCAGGGTATCTGAAACCCGCCACTGTTGAGATATAGGGCTCGGCCCAAATGTATCTATTGGTTAGGCCTATTGTGTAGTTATAGTCGTGCTCTCATTTCCCTTAGAAAACTCGGCTAGGGTCAATTATAGGAGAACTATATAAACCTACTTATTTATTCTGTAACAGTATATGAATAAGACGATTACTACTTCGTTCGTGTATTAGTTTCGTTCTCTCTGAACGAGGAAATCACGTAAACTCCTTGCCGATTATCTTATGTTTGCAATTCGATTAACAACCACTTCCGCCAACAAATCTCATCAACTCACATGTGAAGCCCGACCCTGGGATTTTTAACCCAGTAATAGAGGGTATTCACAACCCCCCAGACATCCAAAAAGACTCACAATATTTGATTTTTTCAGGTTCCAGTATGTTTTTTTAGGTCCATATTAGATAAAATCATGATACACTCGGACTTTTTAAATTCTGTAATAGCAAAAGAGGATAGAAACTAAGTTATTGTAGACATGTATCGTGACACAATCAATATGATTTTCTTAGAAATGGTGTACATATAAATATCTTGAACATACATGACCCAATAAGGGGTGGACTAGAAATGGAGAAAATATAAAAAAAAAAGAGTATATTATAACGAAATTTGCATGTTGTAGGAAAACGAGCCACTTGTTTCTTACATTTAATGTATACAATATATAGTGTCATCATACATATACATATATTTCGAAGTAATCTTAAGCTTAGCATCCTTGTTGATGTTGTTGATGGATTCGTTATCTCGAAATATATCCACAGCTTCTGGATGTGGCTCTAATAGGTGGTGGTGATTTGTGTGATGCTGCAATACGAAACATCAAGAATAATATAATATTAGATTAATTCATGGAGTAGGTGAAATATTGTCATGATAAAATTCATTAAAGAAAGTTATGAAATATTCAAGTATTATAGCAATTTTAGGTTTGTAGGAATCCTTCCCTGCATTAGTTTCTTGATAGCAAATGAAAATGTAACTAGGTTTAGACATTTACAAGTATTGTTTATATCATTGATATAATTCGTAAGGCCAATGACGGGCCCAAATCTATTCTAATCTTCAATATGAAGAGTGAGAATGGATGAAAGGGATTATGGAATCCGCGCACAGAAAAGGTGTTGAATTGTTTTTTTTTTGTGAACTTATTTTTGAAATAAAATTGATCATGTGAACTTCTAAATCGTCCAAATCAAATGTACTCGAGATTACCCCAATTTTCATTATTACCATCCTTTGAGTATTTTCTTCCAAATATTGTAGAATTCGCTCCCAGTGACCTAAAACAAACTTTAACACTAAACCAAGTATAAATTTTGCAAAAACATATAAATCTTGTTCGAAAGATAGCTCAAACAAATGGGGAATAAAATATGTATAATTTAATGTGCATTACATTCTAATGTAACTAAAGAAAAATATTAATTATGGAAAAGAACCATCTATCACGTAAGATATATAAAATGTTCTTCTACAATTATTACGTAATGTGAACACAACTAACACAATTAACAAGTAACGAACTTGTAAATTTTTTGTGATGCAACCTATATAGGGAACTTATATCGTCAAAAACTAGTTAATTAATTATTATTAATTAATTAATATATTAATAGCTCAAGTAAACTAATGTTTAATTTTACGGGATGAGATTAGATGCTCGAGATTACCCCAATTTCCATTATTACCATCCTTTGAGTATTTTCTTCCAAATATTGTAGAATTCGCTCCCAGTGACCTAAAACAATCTTTAACACTAAACCAAGTATAAATTTTGAAAAAACATATAAATCTTGTTCGAAAGATAGCTCAAACAAATGGGGAATAAAATATGTATAATTTAATGTGCATTACATTCTAATGTAACTAAAGAAAAATATTAATTATGGAAAAGAACCATCTATCACGTAAGATATATAAAATGTTCTTCTACAATTATTACGTAATGTGAACACAACTAACACAATTAACAAGTAACGAACTTGTAAATTTTTTGTGATGCAACCTATATAGGGAACTTATATCGTCAAAAACTAGTTAATTAATTATTATTAATTAATTAATATATTAATAGCTCAAGTAAACTAATGTTTAATTTTACGGGATGAGATTAGATGCTAACTGATTAAAGGGTTAGCACGGCACTAACCACTTCTCTAATCGTTGGATTAAAATATTAATCTAAGAGTAAGAATTAAATGGAGATTACTTCTCTCGCCCTCTCTCTCACAATTCCCTCTACAAGAAAATGACTCACTGCCTCCCCTCTCTCTCTACCGCAAACCGCTCCTTGCTACTACCAAGACTGTAGATCTAGAATGGAGGTCGAGGTCGTTGCTGCTATCTACCAGCGAGGGACAACGAAGCAAAATGGAGAGGGAGTTTCATCGATATCCATCCCTTGCTACTGCGGCATCGTCGATGTTGTCAGCGTCCCTCGCCGCCAATGTAAACGAAGACGATGGGCTAGAGATGTGGTGCGATTCCACAGAGAGCCCAAGATCCATCAATCGCCGCCGCAACGAAGTCAATTCCGCCGGCAACGGCGCCGAGTCGTCAGCGTCTCTTGTCTTATTCCGCTCGCAACGGCGCCTACCTTGTCTGCGTTGGCTTCCCACCACGATTGTCGTCAATCGCTCGTGGATAGCATGCATGGAGGAAGAACGAGAATTTTTTCCAGATCTATATTAGTAGTTGATTAGTAGTGATTTTGGGTTAGTAGTGATTGTGGTGTATTGTTTTTCATATGTATTAGTAGTTATTCTTATTGTAATCAACAGTTGAGCAGTGATATTTGTAAAGTATTAGTAGTGTTTTGTATATTAGTAGTAATATTTGTTATTTGTAGTACTTTTTTCATTTAAAGTATTATTCTTTCCAAATATCATCAACTTCTTCTATTTAAAAAACGTTATTAAAAACAACGAAATCACTACGGATTATTATAAAATCAATACAACATCCAAGCTAAATCACTACTAATTCAAACTAGTAGTAGTTTTTTCTCTAGCATTCTTTCGTGTTAAAGTTCTTTGTGAATGAGGAGAGAGATAATTAAATTAAATTTATTTATTAAATTTAATTTGACTAAATACCAATAAAGCCCTCCATTGATCCTTGATTAGGACGGTGCTAACTC